CAGTTACATCATAATGACCAACAGTGGCATCTTGAAATTTCTCAGGAAGAAGAGTGAAAAGGGAAGCCCATCTCTTGATCACATCTACCTGGAGGCAATCACAAAGCATAAAAAATACCAAAACACACACCCATCTAAGTATTAAGGCCATAGGTAACTCCTGAATATGCCTGAAAAACAGAAACAGTTGACCATATCAGCACATGTACAGAAATGAAATAAAGTGACTGAGAAAAATGAGTCGGCAGTAGACCTACACTTCATACTGGAAGGAGGGCACGCTTTGGAAATGCCTGAAAAGGAATTCAGAAAAATGATTATAAAATGTCTCAAAACACTTTACAATGGAGTTGAGGAAGAAGTCAGGAAATTGCCAAAGGAACAATCAAATAGATACAACATTGGAAATAATTAAAGACCTACAAAAAGAGGTCCAAATGATTACTAATAGAATATCAGAAATGGACAATACACTGAAAGTGCAAAGGAGTAGAACTGAAGAGATGGAATCCAGAACTAGTAAGCTGGAAGATAAATCTCTCAATATCACTAAGATAGAAGAACAAGCAGATAAAAGCATTAAAAAATCTGAGGACGGTCTAAGATTCATGTTGGACAACATAAAGAGAAATAACTTAAGGATTATAGGCACTCTGAAACAGGAAGAATCACACAAGTCCACAGAGGAGATAGTTAAAGAACAGCTGGAAGAAAATTTTCCTAACAACATGAAAAGCATCCAAGAAGCTTGATGAACCCCAGGAAGGATGTTGTTGTTGTTGTTAAGTGCCATCGAGTCGGGTCCGACCCATAGAGACCCTGTACAGGGTTTCCGAGGGTGTAAATCTTTACGGGAGTAGAAAGCCTCATCTTTCTCCCGCGGAGCGGCTGGTAGTTTTGAACCGCTGACCTTAAGGTTCGCAGCCCGATTCGTAACCACTACGCTACCAGGAAGGATAGACCACCAAAAAACAAAACAAAACAAAAATCACCAAGACATATCATAATCAAGCTCTCCAAAATCAAAGATAAGAACAAAATTCTGAAGGCAGCTAGGGAAAAGAGAAGTATAACATAATAAAGGCAAGCAAATCAGATTAAGCTCGCATTTCTCAACAGAAACCATGCAGGCAAGAAGGCAATGGGGAAACATATATAAAACGCTGAAAGAAAAAAACTGCTGACCAAGAATCCTTGACCTAGCAAAGCTGTCAATCTAATACGATAGTGTAATCAAAACATTCCAGGATAAACAGAAGCTAAGGGATTTTACCAAAACCACCCTTGTGATGAAAAACATCCTAATGGGAGTTCTGTTGACAGAGAACCAACAAGAACAGACAACAATCAGAGATTGATGTGCATGGCAACATCACCCGGAAGTCAATAGAAAAATGGAAGACTCAATAACAGAATAAAAATACAAGAACAAATTTAGAGGATCTGGGAGGTCAGTCTGTCCTCGAAACAATTACAATGTGAGAGTAGGTAAACACAGAGGAATAGAGATCTAGGTGGTAGGAAGGGCAGGTAGATTACAGGTAAAATAGACTGTCTAAAATGGAGGGAAAAGTTAATGGAATATAAAGTAACCACAATGGTGGTTTGGGGTGGTGGGTTTCAGGGGAGGTGAAGGCATGCGATGATAGAGCACAGGGTAAGAGCAGACACATCATGTTTCAGGCGCGGGGGAGGGCTGTACATGAAGGGGAAAGAGTTGGAAGAACAAGATAGATAGGGGAACACTGAGGCATGTTTGTATGGGCTACGTAGGACAGAAGTAAATAGTGATACATTCTTAATCTTGGAACAACAGGGCTCTGTGATACAGGGACCCAGGCATAGTTTGAAGAGGGAAAATGATACTAAGATGCTTGACTGTCTTATGAATATTGTTTTCCTTTGTCTACTGTTGTAAAATAGACACTTGAGTGGTATAGAAAGGAATGTTGGGAAACATGATTACAGAAAACTTGTAAGCCTGTCTTTAGCTTATAACTGATTGGAAAACCTAAAGGGGTTCTAAACCTTGCCCAGTGAAACAGGCCTCTTGTGGAGACTTTGTAGAGTATAGGAACTTAGGTGGAATCCTGAATCCCATCCAGAACCTTCTGAGGTAGGACAGTTCAACTAGAAAGGACAAGCAGACCAGCCTGGAACAGCTAGAGCATCAGAAGATGGATCTTCAAAGAAGGATCATCAGGAAAAAACCAAAACAAAAATGGCAATATGACTGGCTACTGCAAGAATAAACAAGCTGTTCACCGGGAAGTCATCAAGGCAATAAATCAAGTTACTTCAGGACAAACCCCCCTCTAAGACTAAAACTCAAAGGAACACATGAGCAGGCATGTAAGCTTGCTGGTTACCACATTGGTCTACTGGTGAGTGGAAGAGGGGGGAAAGCAGCAATGAAGAAATGGGCTGAGTTCAACTATGGTCCATTGACTCCCGTTGACCTGAATATGAGAGAGAAAAGAAAAAGTGTTGGTTGGTCCAAAGTGCAGTGATACCTGGGGAAACCTGAGCCCATGGGCAAGGACATAGGCACAGAGGGTTAGAGTTGAGAGTGAAGCATCCAGCTGATGTGAAATGGGGGGAAAGGCACAAGAATACCCAAACTTGCAGATTGTGCCCATTTAACCTAGCCTCAATAGCTTGATAATAAGAACTCGACTAGAGGAAGATAAAAAAAATTTTTTTTTTTATAATTGAAACAAGGGTAAATTGCTACAATTTGATGAACCTGACCTGTACTCATGGAAGTAGTAACTCTAAATACCAACACAGAGGGAAGGAGTATTCACATCAAATATCAAAGCTATCCTCACTGTACACAGGTTAGATAGGGATGGGCAACTTAGACATTGGCAATCTAAAATGAGGGTGTACTAAAGCATGAAGTGACTGGCTTACAAAGTTTCAAGAGGGAGTTTAAAAGTGTGTGGGGGAGAAAGGGTCCCCACTGAATAGTTGTCATCTTATCTAGATGGGTCTGATTAAAAGAGATGGGGATAAGATGCTTATGATTCAATAGTGAGTAATTGTTGTCATGACTAACTGTGACTGTCACAATTGTAAAGGTAGAAGTTTTGTAACAAAACTGGGGGAGCAGTTAATCTTACAGTCCGGAAACAAAGGACCTGAGGCCCATTAAGGAAGAAGAGCACACGCAGAATGCGGGATGCTATCCAGAGAAACAGCAACACCAGAGATGGAGGCAGTGATGGGGATATGGAGAAAGGAAGCAGCTGAGGACTCTAGATTCCTAGGAAGAGAGGGACTAAGAGCTGGTTATCAGGAGGCAGACTTGCAGAATGTGCCCTTTGGTGGTGTAAATTATTATATACGTCTGAGTGTGTGTGTGTTTTTTAAGGAGCTAAAGTGAATAAAGAGAAATACTGTTAACTAATGGTACATGGATGGGAATGTAATCATTGTGATGAAACAAGTTGTATGATTTGTTGAATGTAAAACTGATGATATGCCCTGTAAACTTACACTCAAGCCACAATAAAAACCTTAAAGAAGAAGAAAAAAAAGTTAAGGTTGGCAGTTTAAACCTACCAGCTGCTCCTCAGAAACCCTATATAGAGTCACTATGAGTCAGAACTGACTCGATGACACTTAACAACAACAATAACATGTGTAAAAGAAGTTTGAAGCGAAAGTCAGCTTTTTATTTTAGCACTTACAGTTAGATTCACTTTCCTACTAGTTTTTCTGGATTCAAATAAGTTTAGATTTCAAAGATTTAAATATATTTTCCATTTCACTTAATCAGCAATCTCAAGGAAGCAAACTAGTTCTTAAACATGTAAGTTACAGCCTAAGTATGGTAAGCAGAAGCATTGCAGACAAAAGAAAAGCCCCTCCCCCAAATTTATGAAGTGTTGTGTAGGGCGTATATAACTTGGATATGACAGTACTAGTTCTCTACCTGAGGTGACACTACTGAAGAGCTCATAGTTTGTCCCTATTCACTGTTTTGGTAGAGAGAAAATGGCGTTTCTCCACTTTCACAGTACATTAGAGTGATGAGCTGTGTTTCATATTTTATGTAATAGATTTCATTGCCCATGATGACCAGTAGTTACTTCTTCCTCTTCACTCTGGAGAGAGGACTCACCCACATCACCCTCCTGTCTTGTATATAATTTCAGAGATAAAGGCACAGAGATATTTTGGAAAACTGGAGATCAGACTAATATTATTGTCCATAAAGCAAGACTTATTAAACCCCTTCAACAACAGTCATTTTCATACTTATTTTTTTCTCTTGAACACTAAGGTAACTGTCACAAAAACGTTAAGTACTTTTTCTAAAACCAAATCTTGTGATGGACGGCCTGGAGCCCAGTCTGTGCCCTTAGCATTCAAGAGGAAAAAATGAGTATGAAAATGACTGTTTTTGAGGTAAGACTGTCAAGACATGTATTAATAATTCTAGCTCTATGGACAATAATATAAGACTGATTTCCAGTTTTCCAAATTATCCCTGTTCCTTTATCTCTGAACTTATCTACAAGACAGGAGTGTGATGAACTTATCCATAAGACAGTAATTCCTAGCTCTAGGTATCGCTGCCTTTTCCCCCTAAACTAGTGGTACTCAATTGGAGTGAGTTTTGTCCACCAAGGGACATTTAGCAATATCTGGAGATACAATGATTTTCAAAGCTTGAGGGCTGAGGGGTGCTTATGGCATATAATATGTACAGAGGCCAAAGATACTGCCAAATATTGTACAGAGATAGGACAACCCCCTCACAGCAAAGAATTATCAGGTTCAAAAAGTTAGAACTGCTGAATTCAAGAAAACCTGCCCTAGATATAGGTTCTTCTCTTTCCAATGTAATCTCAGAGTAATGAAACCTGTAAATAAATTGAAGTTATCACTCTTAAGCTTGCTTTTCTTTAAAGTAGCATTTTCTCTCTCTCTCCCTCTCCTTCCCTCTCCCTCCCTCTCCCTCTTCTCTCTCTCTTTCTCACTGTTTCTAGGTAAAGGAGATTTAATTGGTGCAAACTTGTCAATTAAGGACCAAGTGATCAAGACCAATGCAGATGTGAAGGCTTTAACCTACTGTGATCTCCAGTGCATCATCCTCAAAGGACTCTTTGAAGTTCTAGACCTTTACCCAGAATATGCTCACAAATTCGTGGAAGACATTCAACATGACCTCACATACAACCTGCGAGAAGGTCATGAGAGTGATGTAAGTCTCACTTCTAATTAGTGCTGAGATGTAATCACACGGGGCCTGGAGATCATTTATAACAGACAAGGCAGATGTCCTGACCTCACTTTAAAAAGTCTTTGAACATATTAGAGATGGTTACTCAGCCACTAGTGAGCTGCTAAATAATTAGCTAGAAGCCAAATTCAAGATTTCTTATCAACATTCTATGAAAATGTTAATTGGGATGACTTCTATTAACTCCGTTTCTTTCTTCTTTATTTGCTTACATTCAATCTCAGAACAGTTTTAGTGATAGATGACATTTAACTAGAGTTGTGTGATTGTTCCGTAATTTAAAGATTACCACAGTCAGAGCTTGCTGGGTTTGTAATTGTTTGTTACTCCAGTTGCTTGACATAGATTTGCTTAAGAATATTTTCTTGGCTTTGTTGTTGTTAACCAGTACCCAAAACAGTCTATTAAACATATCTTAAAGTTAGTAAATATGCATAAAAGGAGTCAAGCCAAGAATTATCACACTGAAAGCATAATGAACATTTTATGAAATTATATATTTGCTGTGTATTTCAGTTTATACAAACAGCTTTCCTGTCAAAATATGTGCTGTGCTACATCCTGTGATTAAGCTGATCATGAGCATGACTTCATTAGATGTGTCAGAGAGACAAATGATTTAATAGGAATGATTGTTTAAAGGCTAGGCAGAGCATGCATATCATTGTTTAGCAACCAAAGCCTTGGTCTAATAGTCTTGATATTTGTCCCAGATATTTACAACATACTTTCCCCTCTCCCCTGCTAGGAGTTTAAGAGGCTATTGATTGTACAGACATTTTGTTTGTCCAAAGTATTAGAAACAGAGAAAGGAAATGCAGATTGTGTTTTCCTTCATCTTTATTGGGGGACATTGAATCACAGTCAATACATAAATAATATCCCATTGTGAAGTTCAAGTTTACCAGCTATGCATATATGCTGCTCTCGGTTGGTAATGGCAAACAGAGGAAATGTTGATACTAATTGTGTAGTTTTCTATGCTAGCATTTTTATTTATGATGTATTTCACTTAGTGCTCAAAACAATTCTGTTGAAGACGAGTGTAAGTTTCAGTTTACTTCTGTTCAAGAGGAAACTGAGATTCTGAGTGGCTAAGTAACTTGTATTAGATCACTCAGGTATATAGGTGGCAGGGACTGAGTTTAAACACAAGACTGATTTTAGTATCTGTCCTCTTTCTATTAAATATGCTGCCTCCTCTTCTTTTTTTTTTTTTTTTTGATTTTAGTATCTGTCCTCTTTCTATTAAATATGCTGCCTCCTCTTCTTTTTTTTTTTTTGCAGGTACATTTTGTACTCTCTATTGCAGCATTAAGTGAAAACAAGTTTGTTTTGTTTCGCTTTTGTTTGCTGACTAGTATGTTTGTTTATTGTAATTTGGGTGATAGTTCAAAAAGCATGTTAGCTTCCCATTCAGGAATTGATGAACATTTTGCTTGTGGCATTGGTTGTAATCCTGTAACTACAGCAACACTTTCCCCACTTCTTTTCTGGGTGCCTCATTTGCATTCATCCTTTCTTTCCAAAAACTTTCTACCTTCTGAACCTTGTTTTTGGAAAATGCTATCCTTTTAATCTTGTATGGTTGATTGTATTGAGAAGTACATTGCTTTCTGGTATTGTTATTCACTTTCTAGTCCCATCTATCATTTTACCAAAAGTGGATCCTTGGGGATGAGTTCAGTTCCAGGCTTGCAGATTATTGAAGGACCAGAGTCCTAGGATTCCACTAGTATCTTTCTGGACTTTTTTGTTTTGTTTTGTTTAATATTGATTCAGTGGGGTTTTTTTTTCTACATAATTTTTTCCCCTCTCTGTTCAGGACATTCTATTGTGTTCCAGATCAAAGAAGTAATTAGTGATAGCCTGGTACCATCTAGTTTTTCTGGTCTCTGGCTAGTAAATGTTGTTTGTGTGGTCCATTATTACTCCTTTGGCCTAATTGTTTCCTTGAGTCTAACTTTCTTTGCTCCAGAACATGAGAGACCAATAGTTGCTTCTTAGATTACCACTCACAAGTTTTTAATATTCCATAGCTATTTACAAAAGTAAGAGAAAGAACATTGTCTTTGTGCACTATTTCATGCCAATTGACCAAGTTGTCCCCTGAGATTATGGTCCTAACTCCCCAAGCTAAGTGAATCATTCCCTCAAGGTATTTGACTATAAATACAAACTTTTTAATAATTTTGCTCATGATTGTTGTTGTTAAGTGCTGTTGAGTTGATTCCAACCCATAGTGACCCTGTATAGGGTTACCAAGGAGAAACTGGTGAGCTTGAACCACTGACCTTGTAATTCAAACGACTTTGCAGTTCGATACACTAGCCCACAGCGCCACACCAGGACTCTTGCCCATGATATGCTCTATAATATCCTTAGATATGTTGACTGCATGTATAAATACATATGTAAAATATCTTCTGGAGTCCTGGTGTAGCACTGTGTGTTAATGCGCCAGACTGCAAAGCTGTTTGAACTACAAGGTCAGCGGTTCAAGCTCACCAGGTCGGAATCGACTCAACAGCACTTGACAACAACAACAACATACATATACTTTTGGGTGTACTCTCATTTGCCATCTGTTCAGCTAGCATGTCTACCTATATCATAGATGTTGTTACTTATTATTACTATTGCTGAATTACATGTATAATAGTGTCTACCATTGTCTTTTACTCTTGTACCTCACAGTAATTTTCTTTGCCGTTGATCATGTTTTGCTGCCCTCCCTTATTGTATATTGTTTTTCCCTTCACCCTCTTTTCTTCAGACTACTCTGTAGTTAGTAATTTACCTTCCTTTCCCCTCCCTGTTAAGCAACAAATTTTTCTTTCTGTGTGCAAAACTTTCCTTGAGTTTTTATAACAGTTGTTTGGTTGGTTATATGCTGGGAGTCAGTTCTGATGCATAGCAACCCTGTATGGGATTTCCAAAGCTATAAGTCTTTATGGGAACAGAAAGCCTCACCTTTCTCCTGTGGAACTGATGACTGTTTTGAACTATTGGCCTTGAGGGTAGCAGCCCTACTTGTGATCACTATCCTACCAGTGTTCCTTGAGTATTAGTAGTCTCATATAATATTTATCCACCACTTGTCTGTCAATTTTTCAGATTGTGGCAACTTGTGTATTGTTGTGATGCTGGAAGTTCTGCCACAATATTTGAAATACTAGCATATTAACTCTTGATGGACAGGTTTCAGTGATATTTCATATTCAGACAGACTAGGAAGTAGGAGAGACAGAACACTTCTGAATGGTTAGCCACTGAAAACCTTATGAATGGGAGCAAACTATCATTAGATGCAGTGCTTGAAGAAGGGCCCTTAGGTTGGAAAACAGTTAAAATGTAACTGGGGAAAAGTGCCTACTCTTACTTGAGTTGACCTTAAAGATATGGATGGAGTTAAGCTTTCAGGACCTTCATTTGCTGATGTGGCACAACTCGAAATGAAAACATTAAGCTGCAACACCCATTAATAATTGGATAGTGGAATATACAAAATATGAATCTAGAAAAATTAGAAGTTGTCAAAAGTGAAATGGAAGATATAAAGATCGATAAATACCCTGTTTTTGCTGCTGTTAAGTGTCTTTGAATCGGTTCCGACTTATTATCAACCCTGTAGCATATTGAATTATATTAGTTGATTGTTGGACCCATCAACCTTGCAGTTACAAGCCCACTGCTTATTCTACAGTGCCACACAAGTACTCCATCCAAGACATTACTGAGTTGAAATAGACTGGTATTGGTCATTTTGAATCAGACCATTGGTATTGTTTACTATGCCAGGAACAACAAATTTAAGAAGAATGACATTGTACTCATCACCAAAAAGAACATTTAAAAATACATATTGATGTGCAGTTCTGTCTTTGATAAGATAATATCCATATGGCTACAAGTAAGACCGTTAATACTTCAAATTCTTCAAATTTAAGCATGAAACACTAAAGCCAGTGATGATGAAATTGAAGAATTCTATCAATTTATTCAGTCTGAAATTTATCAAACATGAAATCAAGAGGCATTGATAATGACCTGTGATTGAAATGTGAAAGTTGAAAACAAAAAGGAAGGAACAGTAGTTGGAAAATATGTCCATCATGATAGAAACAATGCTGGGTATCACATGATAGAAATTTCAAAATAAGTGACTTATTCATTGTAAATACCCTTTATAACAACATAAAAGGCCTCACCAGATGGAATACACAGGAGACAAATTTATTTCATCTGTGGGAAGAGTTGGTGAAGCCCTATATCGTCATTCAAAACAGGGCCAGGGGCCAATTATAGAACAGACGGTCAATTTCTCATATGCAAATTCAGGTTGAAGCTGAAGAAAACTTAGAGCAATCCCACAAGAGCCAATATATGACCTTGAGTATACCCCAATGAATTTAGAGACACTCTCAAGAACAGATTTGATGCATTAGACACTAATGACCAAAGACCAAAGGAGAGATGGGTTGACATAAAAAAATATATAAATATATATATACAGAAGGAAAGTCAAAGGTCATTTAATAGACAGAAAAAGAACAGAAAGACAAAAATGGATGTCAGAAGAGACTGTGAAGCTTGCTCTTGAGCATAATGAAGCAAAAACAAATAGGAGAAATAAGGGAGTTAAAGAGTTGAATAGAAAATCTCACAGGGCAACTTTGAGAAGACAAAGTCAAGTATTATATCTGAATATGCAAAGGTCTGGAGTTCACAAACCCAAAAGGAAGAACATGCTCAGCATTTCTCTAACTAAAAGAACTGAAGAAAAATTGCCTCAGACTGTAATATTCAAAGATTCTATTAGCAAAATGGAAGACATTTGAGTCCTGGTGTGGCACTGTAGGTTAATGTACCATACTGCAAAACCATTTTAACTGCAAGGTCGGTGATTCAAGCTCACCTGCTGCTCCGTAGATACCCTATACAGGGTTGCTATGGGTTGG